TTCAGCTCGGTTCAGAGTGCGGGAGGCGAAGGCGATTGGGCGTTCTCCTTCTGGTATCATCTGAGACAACACAGCTCCTAGGGCATAGGAGCTGGCATCTGCTGACACGATGACTGGTGCATTACCGTCAAAGTGTGCGAGACAGGGAGCTTCTGAGAGAAGAACCTTCGTTGCCCTGAAGGCGTCCCGCTGCTCTGCGCCCCATCGCCACTCCGTGTCTTTCCTCAGGAGTGCATACAACTGTGCGGCAACCGCACTCAGCTTCGGGCAGACGCGGCTGTAGTTGTTCAGCATGCTGAGATACGTCCTCAGTTGTCCGACATTTTCAGGATGTGGGACGTCTCGCACGGCTGCTGCCTTCTGTTCTGTTGGGTGCAGACCTTGTCGATCCGAACCCTGAGGTAGGAGACCTCTGGCAGGAACCACCAGCATTTCCTTGGGTTGATTCTCAGGTTCTCCTGATCCAGTCAGTCTCAGTACTTCCTCCAGGTTAGCGAGATGTGCAGTGTCGTTCGGATCTGTGACACAAATGTCATCAAGAAACACCATGGTGTTTGGGATGCCAGGTAGCAGGGCTTTTGATGTGACACTGGAGAACAGCAGGACCACTGCTAACTCCATACCCCTCGGGAGGGGTGTATAGGTGGCCTCGGGAGGGGAGGGGTGACCACTGCTAACTCCATACCCCTCGGGAGGGGTGTATAGGTGGCCTCGGGAGGGGAGGGGTGACCACTGCTAACTCCATACCCCTCGGGAGGGGTGTATAGGTGGCCTCGGGAGGGGAGGGGTGACCACTGCTAGCTCCATACCCCTCGGGAGGGGTGTATAGGTGGCCTCGGGAGGGGAGGGGTGACCACTGCTAACTCCATACACCTCGGGAGGGGTGTATAGGTGGCCTCGGGAGCGGAGGGGTGACCACTGCTAACTCCATACACCTCGGGAGGGGTGTATAGGTGGCCTCGGGAGGGGAGGGGTGACCACTGCCAACTCGGGCTTTGTCAGATTTGGGAACTTTTTCAGTATCTCTTGTGCCGTTTCCTCCAGTGAGGCCTTCACATGGAAGATTGCATGCCAGCTGAGTTTCACCTTGGAGAGCCTATTTATAACCAGTAGGGACTTGCTGGATCCACACACTATGATCAGGGGTAGCTGGACTCCTGTCACTTTCTTACACAATCACCTTGACTTCCCCTATCATAGAGATGGGCTCACCTATGTAAGTTTTCAGTCTCTGTCTGGATTCCTCCAATTTCCTGTTTGGCCACAGCTTGCAGGAACAGCTGTTCCCACATCACTGACACTGCTGCACCAGCATCAACTTCCCACTGCACTGGCTTTCCATCTGCTCGCACTGTTATCTTGATTGGATGGTTCTCACTTGCTGCTGTCTCCTGTATAGACTTGTTGATCCTCAGGAGGTACTCTTCAAGTGGGCTTTCATGCTGAGCTTGCAGATGGTGTGCTTGGTCCATCTGTTTTAATATGGTAAAACCATGCTGACCTTTGTTGCGGCGTGCTGTTTGAGTGCGACCCCGTTTTCCACAGTGAAAGCAGTCCTGCTTGTTAAAGGAGCGCTCCCATTGTCCATGTTGTGGGCTGTTGCATCTTGTGCAACTTTCTGTGTTTCAGACACTGTGACTGGGCTGGTTGCTTTGGTGCATTTTGTTTTGTACCATGTTTGGGGTGGGCTTTTGTTTTTGTACTATGTTTTGTGCCTGGACACTTGCCTGTGGCACATCAAATCTGTTTGAATGGCATGCTTCAATGGCACAGGCTTGGGCTTTGGCTTGCTCAGAGCCTCTTGCAAATGAGTGCAATTCCTTGACTGTCATTTTCTGTTGCAGGGCCTTTTTCCCTCACCCTGGAATCTCCGACTCCCACGATCACCTGCCGCCGGATTTCCCGGGTGGAATCAGTGAAATCACAAGTACTGGTGAAGTGCCTGAGGCCAGCCACAAATGTGTCAGTGGACTCACCTTCCATTTGCATCATTTGGTGGAACACATCGCACTCCTCATCTATATTTTTCTGGGAAACAAAATATGACCCGAGCTGCCTGCACATCTGTTTGTGGACATCATCTGCGGCCTCTCCCGCGACAGGCGGGGGCTGTGGCAGCGTTTCTTGCTGATCAAACACTGCAGGGTCAGCAAAATGGAGCAAGTGGCCTTTTCCGGGCAGGATCTTCTACTCCCATCGCCAGACACATGTTTCCGGCCGACGGAGCCGTTTAGGCCACTGATGGGGGTGCGTCACATCAAATTGCGGCAATTCCAGCGTCGGCAATGTCATCCCTTTTCAGGCGGAACTTCGCCCATTTTACCACTGATGGTTGAAGCAGACATACTTCCCTTGAGACTGAGGAGATGCGACTTGTCTCTCCGTTATTCCCTGAAGATACTAAGTCGAGAGGATCATCCATGCAGAAAACTTATGGCTAATGAGGCTGCGTTACATGAGATAGAGACTGGATACATGAAAAGGATTTCTGGTTTCCCGCCTATATGAGGGAATACGTGATATGTGCCATGAAACAGGATTCGATTTCCCAGAAGAGGCGACCTTAAAACGCAGCGTCGTTCCCGCATGGAGATCACGTAAATGTACGTTGATAAAGTTGACTAACAGGAGCAAGAGAACACTAGATGAGGTGCAAATTCAATGCGAGTTTAATGATTTGAGAAGCAGGTATGCAGAATACGAGTTCATATTTACCGATGGAGCAAAAAGTGCAGACGGAGTTGGATGTGCTTTTGTCCACGGTGAAAGACGTCAAAAATTTAAACTTCCTGGACTTTGTTCGATATTTATAGCTGAAGGATTCGCATTATTACAGGCTCTGAATTATACACATACAAATCGCATCCTCAAATGTGTTATATGCACAGACTCCTTGTCCATTATAACAGCCCTGGGAAATCCGACATCTGAAAACCCGATTGTGATCCATTTACTAGAGACGGTCAATCAGCTTATTGAAATGGGCAGCCCAATCATTGTCGTCTGGATCCCAAGCCATAGTAATACACGTGGAAACGAGACAGCGGATGCACAAGCAAAGTTGGCTGTAAGATTGAATGACGTGCGTAATTTTCAAATGGGTCCTAAAGATTATTTTCCTAAAGTGCGTCGAAGTATTCGTGAATTATTCAACAAATATTGGATAGATTGCAACCCTAGGACTAATTTAAAACGCATCAAAGAAGAGGTAGGAGACTGGGTCTCCTGTAATCGAGCAGTCCGACGCGAAGAGATAGTGCTGTGCCGGCTGAGACTTGGACATACTCGTTCTACCCACTCATATATGATAGACAGAAACCCCCCAACCTGAATGTGAACGATGTCAGTGTCCGTTAATAGTGTATCACATCCTTCTTGAATGTCCCGTATATTTTCAAGAAAGACGATCATTGGTAACACTATGTCAGCGGTCCGGAGCACAATTCTGTGTGAGGTCGCTGATAGGACATCAATTCCCGGACATCATTGATGAAGTGCTGAAATATTTGCGTCACTGCGATTTACTGAAACGATTGTGAAGTGCTGCCTTTGCGTGCGGGACATGTGCAATTTTTGCTTTGCTGTCATTGATTGTTGCCATGTTGCTTATACTATGTTGTATTCGTTTGAAATGAGTTGTTTATTTTATGCATAATTTAAGCTTGCGCGCAAATCTGTGTACGATGTCTGACTGAATGCTTGAGAAATGTGAGAAGCAAGGAAGTGGTATAGGAATTATGTGCGGCATATATGTGTATATGTGTGATACGTGGGCGCGTGCGTAAACAGAGGAGATTGCATGAATGAGGTTTGAACGAGCATGGAGAAGACAGATGAATGTGCGTGAATGCGTTAGAGTAAACGGCATGGCAGATATGTGAAATTCCCATCTGGTAAATGCTTTGTTAAACGGCAATTTTTGTGACTGCCGACTGACTGATGACCTGACCTGCAACGTCTATCATGTGGGGAAGCTGTGGTTAAAAGAAAATGATAAAAAGAGCCTGGCAAAAAACCGGACTTTTTGTTCTCTTGTTTTAGTTCACTAATCAGCTTATATATCTGAACATTTAACACCGAGTTTTCTAGAAACTAACACCGCTTACTGCACCTCCTTGCCACACCATTGTCCTACACGAAAATTCCTGACCAATGCAAAACATTCCTTCTATCCTCTGTCGAGCTTAGTTACCAACTACGCTACCAAACTTCTAGGACAACACAACGATGATGGACGCCTGGGCCCAAGAGGCTATGCGCCCTAAACCAACAACAACAACTTTTCCAGGCGGGATTTAGAACTTATGCCGGGCAATTGAGGATGAAAATAGCACATCAAAATTGATATCCTCGTCGCCAATCTTGTACCGTACACGCTCAGTGCAGAGCAATGGGAGTTTACTGGCTGGGCAGGCTTTCAGGCACGATCCCACACACATCGACTGGCGCGTCGCAATCAAATCGCGAGTTGGTCCTATCTCCAAACGGCGCAAGGGGACATGTTGAAACACTGCCTAATTCGCTGCGCTGCAATACACAGTGATCGTTTCATGTCTATCACGTATAGAACCGACTTTTCGCACGGGATTCTGCATTTTTGCACTTTCTTGCCTTCAAGGCTGCCAATACGCATATACTTGACACGTACAACTATCTGAAAGATTTTTGGAGGGTGTATAGGCCCGGTGCGTAACCGCCCTCCGTTTTGGACGGTGTATAAGCCCGGTGCGTAACCGCCCTACGTTTTGGAGGGTGCATACGCACAGCCTTCGGAGTTTTAGACTTGGCTGCAATGCCTTAAAGTGGTTTTGGGCGGTTTTTAAGGCAAAGATGGTAAACTGGAGTCGCCAGTCTTAGAACCTGCAATAAAAATGCATACTAGTTTTCGATTGGTGCTGGTTTGAAAAGAATCCGATCATTAGTTCCGTAGTTTGAAGTTGCCGGCATGGATGGCGGTGAAGTAGTGTTGTTGCTGTTCTAGGGCCTTGGCCTCGCCTATTCGGAGGCACGTGAAGCGATGCGAGGAGTATCGGTGTAGGTCACTGTTAGTTTGTTAGAAATGGCGGTGAATGCTGGTAATCTTACTGCTCTTCAGGCGAAAGGTAATGAAAAATTAATGACGAGTGCAGGCGATCGAAGCCAACTTTTCCAGGCGGAGGTGATGAAGCGGGTTGATTGTATAAGGACGGTGGGGTCTGGCTGAGGATGCGCATCAGCGTGAGAGAATACATACATGTGCCAAGTTTCATTGCCCAAATGAGATGAAACTCCAACTTATATCTGAAATAAGCATTGTGCATAATGGAGACAAATCCTATTTGCACACCCAATCACTGGCACAATCTGATTTTGTGAGTGAAGGTCAGGACTTCAAGTTATCTAAAAACATGACAAAATGCCTCTCTTTCTTGCTTGTGTTTTTTAGCTGCCCAACATTCATACTTAATCAACTAGCCCAACCATTTAAGCTTGATATGAACTGACCATGTCAACTTTTGACTTGGGAGGGCACCTGGCCCAGTCTGCTATTTAAATGACTGCTGCACTGGATATGTATGCATCATCTCTGCACTGAATGTCACCTGTGCATACATTACCTTAGCATACCTTATGGTGGTCAGGAATTATAAAAGGCCACTAGGCCTCTTGGTCCTGGTCTCATCAGACTCCCAGGCTACAGGTCAGGTAACCAAACAGTCTAAGATTATGGTAGATTCAGTGTGGGATGTCATACATGATGTCAGCCCAGTGCATATCAAGCCCAGACTTAAACTGTTCAACTGATGTTGACAACATGGCTCAGGTGGAAGAGTGCTCCAATTGTTGATGGCCTGCATGCTGAATAAGTTATGAGGGACAAGAGTCATAGCTCCAGGTTTTCTCAGCCTCCATTGGTGTCCTTGTCACCTTGGGGTTGTGCCTTGTCAGGAAGTCCTTCCCACAGTGACATACCTCCTGAAACAGCCGATACACTGTTACCATGTCTCCCCTGGACAATGGTAGTACAGGAGAGTGACTGGAGGAGCCTGAGCCTCTCAGGGCATGGCTTGTGCCTCAGTTCATAGACTAGATGGGTAGCTTGTCACTTAGGCTAAACTCTGGGCAGGTCAAATTGTGCTAAATTTTTCTTGAAACATTTATACCCTATTTTGACATTGGCTGTGATGGTACACCAAACTCTGAACAATCAGACTCATGACACATGTACACTGAAATCATTGAAGCTATGTTGCTGCTATGCTGGTTATGTTCAGCATACTGTGCTTGATTTTCAGACAATGCCAGAGCAGGTAATTAGCTTCCCTAGCATACAACTTGAAATTATGGAACAGCACCTTCCTAGGTAAAGTGCCAGACATTGTCAGACCATTGGTAGGTATTCACCTGTTGACAGGGTGAGCATCACACTGCACAGGAGTTCAGGCAGGATGTTAGGATTTATAGACTTGGGTGTGAACCTTGGTAATAAGCTTAAAGCATATGTGGATGGAAGCTTATCAAAATAATGGGCCTTAAGCTTAACCAGGCACTACAAAAAGGTAGTTACCAATGGCAAGTAGCAAGGGAAATAAATAATTACTTTTAAAATGAATGCTTGCTATGTCAGTTGTTATTTTTTTGGTTGCACCTGGTAGATCAACATTAGCTTGGTATATAGGTTGTCCAGAGATTTGCACTGATGAGAGATGTCATTTATTTCCAGCACAAAACTGACACATTTGTGAATGGGCAGCTGATGGTACGTATGGTATGGTAGATGAGTGATGATTATGGATGGATGGTAAGATGGCACTTGATACTGAGAAGTGTCAGGTAGTGCAAGTTTTTACTGCTAAGAAACCCATGATACTCTGGGACATTGCAATAAATGAGATCAGCTTACAAATGTTAGCAGTACTAAGCATTTACAAGTAGCATTATCCAGCAATGTGGCTTGGCAGGCACATGTTTATGAAGTTCGTTAAGATGGGTTTAAAGGCTTTATATATGCCGTGAAGAAATTATATATAAGTTATGAAGGAACTCAGTCCACCACAAGATCAAATCATACAGATTTACATCACATATGTTCAGTCACCGCTTGAATACTCTGTGACTTTTTTCATCCCAGTTTCACCCACCACTAAGCCCAACAAATTGAGCAAGTACAAAATCGGGCTCTGAAAATCATTGCCCAGGTAGAGCAAGAGCTATCAATGGCTTCTACAGATTCTGAAAAGGGGAACACTTGCAGACAGGAGGGAGATGTTGTGCTTACGGTTTGGACAGCAAATCCTGACATCTCCAAAGCATAGAGACACGCTCCCACCAACGAGAGAAATGATCTCAGGAAGGAACACCCGACATGGTGACACGTTGCAGGCATCTTGCTGCGGCGCAAGGCTTTGAAAATGAAGCATGCCATGTATAACAACTCACATAAACAACTCATATTTGATTGACAACATGTATTGCTTTCAGAGATACTGCAGGATATACTTCAAACCCTAGCCTCTGAGGCAGTTAGCGAGAAGATTACGGGAGCTCGGAACCAGGCTGGCAATGACATGGTCAAGTACATGCAGCTGGTGTTTCCACTGGTTGCTCAGGTTCAAGCTGAGGTCATAGATAAACATGGCTTCTATGGGGAAAAAGGTGAGTGTCGTGATTGGTCGCGTTGGATTCCTGGGCTGGACATTTTTGCTAATGTGGAAGATTGCTAATGTTTTTGCAGGCATAGCTTTTCAGTAGTCATGAACAAAATTCTCATGTTTACTCATCAAAAGACAGCATCTCCTTTGTTGTTACAAATGGATGTGTGAACTTGTTTAAACATTTATTTCCATTAGCACTCATGCAGATCCTTTGCTTTCCTTTTGTTTCCATAAATACGCCGCGAGAGCGACGCGATCACTACCGAGAACGTCACTGGGTCGCCAGTAGTGCCGCGGGACGGATGCGTGCGCTGACTGCTGTGTGGCGCTTGTGGTGTTTTGTGGCGCGTCTATCATGCTGGCCACGCGCACTCAAAGCGACATGCTGCAAAGGTTAAAGAAGTCTCCTAAACGGTGTGAACGGGATGGCAAGTGCAGTTGTCATTTGTACTTGGACTTGTGATTTTCAGTCACCTCAATAGCATGGTGGTGAGGGTTGCCATTGAAGTGTATTCGTTCTGCTGAAGACCCCATTCGGTGTCGTCATTGTAACCCCCCAAGCTTAGTGTTGCTATGTCCTGCATTAGTGACATGTTGCTCTATGGCTTATAATGTTGAGGCCCTGTGAGTAGTTTGAGAACCATATATAGAGGTGTCATTTTTGCAAGCAAGCTTACTGCCCATTTGAGAAATTGGTTACTGGGTCTAGTCCGGTTTAACCGAGGGAGACATTAGGGGAGTCATCGCCACTGATTTTGAAATGTTATATTACACTTATGTTGTTGCATGGAATACAATTATCACAAAATCTCCCCCTCGAAATTGTTGGGTAGTGGAACCGCTATGAGAAAATGCTGCATAATACGTGCGATAAGAAGGAAATGTGAAATTTCTGTTTGCAAACACTGTTTATGAGTTTCGTCGAGCATAGAAAACCCATTGGATATTTATTGACGTTACTTGTATTTTCCGGCTTAACTAAAAAATTTTGGTTCTCACGTTTAACCCTCGCCGTGGTAGAGGGTTGATGCAACCCCCTGAGGTTTGTGGAAGATACCTCTCCGGCACGGTGTTTAGCCGCGCCCAGATGTTCAATAACCTATGGGACATCTATTGCGCGTGTTTTGACACAACAAGCGTGTTCCTAGTCTGGTTCCGATGCAGTGGCGGTTGTTGAGGAACACTGCACGGCAATCTGTGGTTGGTGCGGGCGGCGGTCGGCGGACCACGATCCCGCGGAACGATTTTTCATAAATGTATGCTCAAAACACACGAATGCACCGCTGAATGCTCGCCACTGAATGCTCGGTGTTCGTTGGGTTCCCTTGAAAATGCCTGAAGTGAGTGGTCCGATTGGCCATTCGAAACAACCAGACGGCATGTGCGAGGCTACTCGGTAAAGGCTTATACAGATCCTTTCTGTTCAGGGGCTGAAGTAGTACACTGAGAGGCTTCATTGCGATGCTTGGCGGTTCGCTGTACCCGATGGCGGGTGGGTTGGCTGCTTTTACCACAGTATTGTATTGCTCTCCCGCAACAAAACGATTATACCGTCTGCCATCCTATTATGTCTGCCCGTAGAGTCTTGCCATTTTAGCCCATTTAGTCGGAAGCAAGCGTTAGCGCTTGTTGATATTCTGCGATGCAAGTAGAGAGTTTTCACGGCATTTCCCATCAATGGCGCGAGGACCACTTGCAGTAAAAACATTTGTAGCGCAAATGCCATAGCTGCAAATGTAAATGCTTGCGTCTCTGGTACGTTCAAGAGCTCTGCTTATGAACATTCTGCACATGAAGCAGCCGAACATTGGCCGAATGCCGTTTTTATTCAGGTTCGTGGGAATCACGGTGTCAGGGGTCGAAGCGTTACTGCTAATGCGTCTTTTGGCCGTGCAATACTCTATTGCTAATTTTTCCTGAGTTGGAGGCACAAATGCCAGGTTTTATCGAACTTGGGACGTCCCCCCCTCGATACATCACCAGTGACAGGCATGCTAGGCAGATTTGTATTTGTTCGTAATTTAATCAGGTGTTTTACTCATTTTCAGCTAGCATTGTATTCATGCAGCTGCTGAAGAACTTGGAAAACCAGGACCCTGAGCTGGTCGTCTTGAGTGCCAGAGTCAGAGACTACTTTCTTCCTCAACTTGGAGACCCGAAAGACAGCTAAACGCGGCCAAGAATCAGACCAGCGTAGTGCAGCTTATCGATTTCAGTGTTTTGTACCTCGGTATGATGTAATGCTTCTGTTAGGTCCACTTTGTGATGGACGTTTTACAAGTGACATTGTCGACCTAATTAGTGAACCTTCGACCTCATGAGGATCTTATGAAGCCTGTCGATGATGGGCCGCTTTAAGCACCCCGTAAGCCCACTGTATATCATGCACGCTGCTGAACCTTCCGTGTCCCAGCGCCGCGTTGGCTGCACCGTATCATGGCGTGGCCACCCATCACCAAGTGCGGCTGGTGTAACCGGCGCACCAGTCACAGACGGCCGGAGCCGTTGTGCCGGCGGGACGGAACGGGAGCCGTCCCGGAGGAGGACACGCGCGGCGGCGCGGGCGACACTCCGGCTGGGCGTGGTGACGCTCTCAGAGTGCGGTGGTGCGGGCGACACTCCGGCGGGGTGTGGTGACGCTCGCAGAGTACGGTGGTGCGGATGACACTCCGACTGGGCGTGATGACGCTCTCAGAGTGCGGTGGTGCGGGCGACACGCTGGCCGGGTATGGTGACGCTCTCAGAGTGCGGTGGTGTGGGTGGCGGCGTCGCCCAGCGCGGATCGGGGGTTCGGTCGTCTGCGTATCTGGAATGTACTACTGTATTGGCCGCACGTGTTGTCAGCTGTCGTCGCGCCTGCTAACCACACTAAGCGTCTTCGTTAAAGCTATTGGTGAGCTAGGGTCCGTGGCGCGGCTGAATTGCTATGCTGGTCTGGCACTGCCAGCAGGTCTCTGGGGCCTGCTTGTGTTTTGCGCGGCGTGGTGGTGGTTGGCTGCTCGTCAATGTGAAGCTGGTCCATGTTTGGAGCGTTTGGTATGGCTCGTATTGACCGATAGATTGTCACAAAACGCTCATTGCGTAGACTCGTTTTATGAATTCCTTGGTAAGATGTGCTTGTGTGGATACTATGACGTCATTCCGTGCCCCGAACCATTTTCACTCCAAGTCAGGGGATGCCGTCATCATCCGGCGGGCTCGCCGTTCTCTCTCCGCGTGTTTTCTGTCACGCGTCACCGACGGTCGCCAGCGTCGCCTGCGAACAGAAGATGCCTACAAATGTATTTATCAGTGGGCAGGCGCCAGCCCGCACCCTGTCTTTCGCTATTTCGAATTTTCGTGCTGGGTTTTTGTGCCTTTTCTTCCCCGTAATGAAAATAACAAAATATAGGGTTTTTGTTAGATATTAATTCCGAACCTTATAAATGGATGGGTCTCTGAGACCAGAGCTCACGTCAAGCAGGGCTTGTTGTGCGAGTCCTCCCCTACCAGAAGATCTCGCAATTACCGACCAACGGCAGAATTCGGCGGCGAAAGTTAAACGTGCCTCAGTGCTCGACACGGTCCGTCCTGCCCTCTGACGTGATCTGACCTTTATCGCGGCCGCTGCCACGGCCCGGAGGCCGTACCTGTCGAGGACAAATAACGAGCGCCCTTAAGCGTCTCGAATCCACACCACCAAGGGGTGAGGGATCGGAATGCAGGCACTCTAACCAACTGAGCGATCGAGGCCGAGTCAAATGGATAGCCGCTTTACTGTTGGTCTTTTGTCAATATTTCGTGTAAATGATTTGGAGTTGCATGATGCGACGGCTGTAAAATGTCTAGTGTCTTTTTCACTTCGTGTCAACGGTATTTAATCGACAGCTAAAAAACCACAAAGCATTGCTCTAACCTTGGCTACAACCCTCTCAGCGTCCGTTTCTTGTTCTGAGTGCAGGCAAGGCGTCACAAATCCATGACGCCCGACTCGGAACGCGCGTTTAGTAACTCCAGCACAGTGCACCCATGCAGCTGTACCGGTGCAGTAGAAAGATATGCCCATCAGTTGTCAAGTCCTCAGGTTTAGGTCTGTACTGAAGAACAATGGTATATGAAAGAACCGATGATCATACTTGCCCGGAAGGACAGCGAAAGCTCGTCGGGAGTCGGCGCGCTCCTTGGGTCAGCCCCGGGTCATGCCGTGAAAACGACAGCGCGGCTGGCGCCTAGTGTAGGTCAAGGCGAGCGGCCGCTCCGGCTGCAGCCGGCCTGGCTGTTGTGCAGAGGCGGCACCAGGCCCTGGAACAGCGGATCTCGGGCTGGACGGCGGTGACGACGGGGGATCCGCGCCGGGCAGCGCGCGCAGCCGCGGCGGCATCACATGGACAGTGACGCGGACCGACGGTGCCGCAGCGCGACCTCACCGCCACTTGGACGCCCCCTCTGTCTGGCATACGACCGTGCCCTCATACGGGTGCTGCCCGCGCCTGCTGGGTGCTCCTGTGGCATGTCCGGTAGGCAGAGGCGGGGTGACGTCACTCCACACTCGGCGGCGCCCGGCGCCCAGCTCCAGGTGGGACACTTGAACGCTCGCTCGCTTACCAGCAAGCCGGATAAAACCAACATGCCCCTTGTCCATAAACTGGGCACATTCTGCCTGTCGGAGACGTGGCCTACGCCGAAGTCTTGGACGCAATTGTGGTGTTTCCCGGTTCTAGTATCCTCAGACACGAACCCGACGTGGGGGCGGCGTTGCTATGTTGTACCGTGCAGAAATAAATCAAGCAGTTCGCCATGACGGCGGACGGACCTCTGGAAACGCTGTGAGTCTCAGCTGTGTGGCGAGGCGGCCGGTCGACCACGGCGGGCGTTATCTACCACCCTACCCGAGCATGGAGCGCCTGCAGGACCAGGTACGAGAGTCCGTCGGCACGGGGAAGCCCGTCTGTCTCCCCGACGACGCGCTGGACACCAGCTCGCCCCACATGCGTTGTTACTCCGGCATCATCAGCGAGCTGAACATGGTGCAGTTGGTGGACGGCCCGACTTGCCTTCACCCAGCTCCATCAGCGCCGGATCACATCGTCATCAACCGTACACCTGAGGTCAGCATCTTGCCTGACGTCATGAGCGTACATCTGCGTCTTGCATGGAAGAACGCACAGCGGCGTACTGTGCGAGGCTAGAAACGCCCGGACTGGAGCGTTACCTGTCTCGATCGTCTGTCATCTGGCTGGAGCCAGGCGGATGACACCACTGACGTTAACGTGCGCCTGCGGCACTTGATGACTGTGGAGCGCTGTGGTGACCGGCCACTACCCAGCTACAAAAATGTGCGTCTCCAAACCGCACTGCCCCTGGCTGACCGACGACCCGGCCCTATGAGAGCTCATGTCCGAGCGAGACAGCACGCGTGACGCCCGGCTGACCGACGACCCGGCCCTGTGAGAGGTCATGTCCAAGCGAGACAGCACGCGTGACACCCGGCTGACCGACGACCCAGCCCTGCGAGAGCTCATGTCCGAGTGAGACAGCACGCGTGACACCCGGCTGACCGACGGCCCGGCCCTGCGAGAGCTCACGTCCGAGTGAGACAGCACGCGTGACACCCGGCTGACCGACGGCCCGGCCCTGCGAGAGCTCACGTCCGGGTGAGACAGCACGCTTGACACCCGGCTGACCGACGACCCGGCCCTATGAGAGCTCACGTCCGGGTGAGACAGCACGCTTGACACCCGGCTGACCGACGACCCGGCCCCTGATGAGAGGTTCATGTCCGAGTGAGACAGCACGCGTGACACCCGGGCTGACCGACGACCCCGCCCTGCGAGAGCTCATGTCCGAGCGGGACAGCCGCCGTGACTCCCTGCTGACCGGCTTGACACGGCTCTGCGAGAGCCCATGTCCGAGCGAGACGGCCACGTGCGACACCCGACGGTGTCTTGCGAACACCACGAGACCGGAGCCGGACTTTATGCGACCTCGCAGTCCTGACTCTCCAGTCCAACCGCCGCTAGGGCGCGAGTTCTCTCGCGGCGAGATGGCGCACGGTGCCCGCCCGCGGCTTCTGACCTATCTTCAAGACGTTTCGCCATTACCCCAGCTTCGGACGCCGGCCGAGGCCGCGTCTGCGGTGGGCCTCGAGGGGGCCGAGGTTGACGGCCGCCACAGCTCAAGCGCCCCTTCGCTTGGCCGTGGGGCCTCCCGGCCTTCTCACCAAACTTGCGGCGGCGCGGTTAATGCCGGCTACAAGAATCACAAACCACCCGTTGTCTGCGCCGCTGGCTTCTCGTTCCGACGTGCGACGCTACCAGAGCTGTCACAGTATGTTCAACGTATGAGTACATCGCAGGCGGTAGGGCCTGAATGAGGTCCTACTCGACCTTATCCAGGCCCTACCGCCTGTGCGGGAATGACTGTGCGGGAATGTTTTTCAGTCGTCATGCCCCATCTTTTAAAACTCATCAACATTTCTCTCGCGACCAAAGTGTTCTCAGATAGCTGGAAGAGGACATGTGTTATATCAATTCCGAAGTCAGGTGATCCCGCTGTACCGTCCAAAAATAGGACCATCTATGTGCTCAGTGACCGCTAAAGATCTTAGAAAAGGTAGCGTGCGCACAGCTTACGGAATATTTGAACGCGACTGAGCTGCTGCATCCATCTCAGTATGTCTATAGGCCGCGCCACACAACGAAGAATGCCGTGCTCGCCGCAGTCGAACGTCTGGTCACTGACACTGAGGACGGTCTTGTACCGTCGGTAGCGACGATAGGCCTTTCAAAGGCGCTCGATAGCGTCGACCACGACGTCTTCCTCTCCAAACTGTTCTGGCATAGCGTTATTAATATGGAATGGTGTAGGAATTATTCGAGTGCTCGAGAACAGGTGGTGGGTGGAGGACGGTTCACTCTCCCCATGTCGGGCGGGGTACCCCAGGGTTTGATATCGGCCCTGTTTCGTTAATTTTTGCCAACGATCTATCTGGATACTTCTTGGCTCATCGCCGCCTCATCTCCTTTGCTGGTGACACCATGCACGTGGACTGCGCGCCCCCTGACGGGCTTGGTCTCGCCGACGTAAAAACCAGATTGAAACTTACCGAGCGTGATCTTTAGAACTGGTTCAGTGCCAGCTCTCTCCAAATGAATGAAACAGAAACCGCTTTCATAGCAAGATTTGAAAAAGTCAGCTGACCTTCACTTCGAAGTAAACGATCTGACTGCGCATACCCCAAGAAACATAGAAGTTATCGGCATCATAGTTGACTTCGGTCTGTCATGGAGCGTCCGTGTCTTGGCGGTCGTAAACAATGTTATACACTTTTGTTTCTTTGCATAAATTCCGTTGTTGCTCCATGTAAGATTTTCTCGAAACCATCATCCACGCGTGTGTGCTCCCTCATATCACGTACTGTTTGGTGGGGCGGCCAAGAGCCAAACGCACCATTTTTTTAAAAAAATTCAGCTTTGCTGCAAGAGTAATTGCAGGCTTCAAAAAGCACCAGCATGTCACTTCGGCTCTGCATTCCCTTGGATGGCCGAGGATCGAGGCAATGATGGCGCAGTTAGGGGACTGAAGGACGTAGGCTCGCCACAGGAGGTCCGCGCGCTTTTTGTCCGGCACGCCCGTTGTCCCATGTGCTCTTTGTCCCACGCGCCGCTGTTTCGACCTGCGAAAAGCGCGCCTCGGACAGAGGTAGTGTGCACCTGCGCAGACACCGATTGACCGGTGTTTCAGAGGGCGTTTTCGCATCGGACTGCAGTTGCCTGGAACCGCCTTCCATTGACTGCCTGTGATGCCAAAACACAGCTCGGTTAAGACCTCCACATGTGATGAGATTTGTACCATTGACGACCGCTATAATCCGGCCCAGAGCGCATAGATAGTTCTGTTTTAGCTCTTTGACCATGACTAGCATCATTGTATTGCATACTTTTAGGGTGTCTTTTTCCACTGCACATGTATGTGATTTAAACCGTGACCATGACCTGACACCGCAACAGGCATCATGTGGATGGTTTTCAATATGCTTATACTGACGCTGATAGCTGGCGAAAGTGCATCAGCTGTTGCGAACGTGCGCATCGTCATTACGACCAGTTCTTTCACCACCTCGACACGCACCGTAACACGGCCTTGCTCAACAGCATGCAACTGGTCCGCGCAGGTAACATTCCTGACCTGCAGCTGCGGGCCACGGGCCGGTCACAGGTGTCGTAAAACCGGCACAAGGGCATGGTGTTTTCCGGTGAGAGTGGCCCTTCGCCTGGCGTGAGGCGCAGACGACCGAATCGTCGATGACTGAATACGCAGATTGGTGCAGTCAAGCGACTCGGCTCGACTTGTATGTCCCCGGTGCAGCTCAGCAGCTCATCACCTCTAACGCTCGATTTGTATGTCCCCGGTGCAGCTCAGCAGCTCATCACCTCTAACAGCTCAGTTCAGTGGCTGAATGCAAGTAGGAATGAGAGCTAGGTGTTTCCCGTGTACGGCAGCTTGTAGAGGATGCTGACAAAGGTGTAGGTTGCACAGCTGCCGATAAGAACGTCTTTCAATGGCAAACCGATTTAATGCCCACGGAAGCTCGTGTGCGCGCTGCCGATGCATATATGATAAGATCGCATGCTGCATGCTCATTACGCAAAACGCATTTTCCACCAAGCCCAATCAGGGACTAATAAATGTTCTAATTATGTTAATGCGATTAGAAAAGCTTCATAGGTAAAAAATGTTGCGTCTGTGGTTGCAATCAGAAAATCTGGTGGGGTGAATATGCATCTCATATGCATCTCACATATGCATCTCATATGCATCTCAATTCAAGGGTTTTCGTTCACGTCGTGAAGGCTTCTACGCCTTTTAGTTGCGCGGAATCACTTTCACTCCAATGTCAGATCATCGCTTGATGTGTGTATGCAAAGTTGGAATGTGCTCTAGCACAGACCACGAAGCCGAAATCGCGTCGACGCGTCGGAGACCACGAAGCCGAAATCGCGTCGACGCGCCGGTTACGACGCGAAACTATCGGCGCGGGGTGCCGCGGGCGGGATCTGCACGGCCCACCAGTGTGGGGCTGTGAACACTGGCTGGGGTGGTATGTTACGCCTGGTCGCATGGACCGCCTTTTCAGGCATTACCATTACACGGCCTTATTATTTATCACGCGGCCTTAGACGCTACAAACCTGGGCGGGGTCATTATTCTTTGGTCGTCGATTTTTGATCGACTTACTCAAATACAGGTGACTGTGGTGTGTACCTCCAGACCGCTCCGACCGTCGCTTCAGGTATCAGAGAACTGAGCGATGTACGGGACGGCCTGCACGGTACCTCGGCGGACGCGCTCGAGCCGACGCGGTGGCCCCGCTGGTTCAATGAATACGGAGAAAATCAGCGTTATTTAGACCCCCTTTCTCCGGCCACTCGATCGACACCTTCGGTTCGGATTCTCCGCTACGGTGCTGGGGCATCCTCGGCGTCATCTTTTCCCCGTGCGGTGGTCTCAATCGGCCCCTGCTGGCGTGGAGAGGCGGCTAGGGATTCCGTTTGGATCCTCCGCTACGGCGCTGGGGCATCCTCGGCGTCATCCTTTCCCCATGCGGTGGTCTCAAGCGGCCCCTGCTGGCGTGGAGAGAAACCAACGCTCCTCGATGAGGCCCGGTCCAGACAGGCCTCCACGCGAGGCCACATGGATGGGACAGACGCACGCACATGCGGCATGAACTCGGGGCCGTTTGGCTGCCGTTTCGATAACGGTGGGTCCGGTGCTTTCGTTTCCATCCACGTTATGAAGGTTTCACTTCGCGCCCGTTGCGTAGGGCCAGAATCCAAACAGCGTCCAAGCTTCGAAGGGAGGTACTGTTGACCGAGCCCCCCGTTTTCGACCAGCACGGGTTTGGGTCGCGTTCACCAGCCGTATGGTCGTAGGCGCGGTTAAAATGCGATCGGCGGGTGCTTTAGTCTATTAATTCCAGGCTTATCACCCGTATAAATGCACGTTATCCGGACATTTCGATGTGTCACCAAAACGTCGTAGCCAATATATATTACCAGACATTCTCCTTAATTTTCACCGCGTAAAAGACACACAGTATTCCATTCTCAAATGCGCTCCCACTCCCCAGACCCATTCATAACTCAGTGATATATATTCGCAGAGATCGTTTGATGGGGTATCCATCTCAGTAACGTTAAAGGACGCCTGTTAATTTGAAAAGATACCCTGTACGTCATTAAGTGCCCCATGCACTGAAGTACGTGCCACGAAAATGATGCATCTGGGTGTCATCATTGCAGCAACCGTCATTTTGCGTCACAAGAAAGGTTTTGGCACCAGCACATCGGCTTTCAACAATGTCAACTTCAGAACTCGGCTCAGCACATTGCCAACATATTGATTCAGTTACACATGTCTGCGATGGGCTAGCCGTTAGACACGACACCACGATGCAATCAGGACTGATGACACTCGTGTCAGACTTTGGCCACGCACCTCGAACTCGAAGGCCCACACTCCTACACGCGCATTGTCCATTACGCCATGTCACTCAGAGGAAGCAGTGCTGACCCCGCTTTTGGCCGCAACACGTCCACGGGTGCACTGCGGGTCCTCTCGACGGCGGGCTGTAGACTGCACCCCATTCCTTCTCGCCGATACGGGCGATTCCGAGCGCCTCATAGCTGGCGTAGATCTCGCCATGCCGAAGCGGCTCCCCTGCGCCTGCTACTCCTTCGTGACCTTCATATCGCCCTTGGCCTTACGCCGCTCCATCAACTCGATGGCGAAGTAGCCGAGCATGCCGATCGTCAGGACCGTGATCAGCAGGTCCACCTTCCGCGTCACGCACAGCAGGTCGCTGTAGATAAAGGCGGCGGCGTAGCCGAGCGACTCCCAGAGCCGGTAGTTGCTGAAGGCGGCCTCGGCTGTGTCGGGGAAGATGACGCCATACAGGGCGTTGATCTGCGTCTGCCAGACGGCGTCCGCCATGCCCCAGCCGGCGGCCAGCAGGAAGAAGACGTGCGTCTCGTCGGGCCCCGGTGCCCAGTGGATGAACGTGGCGATGGCGACGTAGTTGAGGGCAGCCGCCACCACGAACAGCGGCACGCGGCCCACACGCTTGATGATGAAGCCGAAGCTGAAGGAGCAGATGGAGTCGGTGATGCCGTAGACGATCAGCACCAGCCCGACGCGGTGAATGCCCCAGGCGCACGACACGAACGCCTGGAAACGGACAGCATTCTGGCTACTGCGTCTGGACTCACGGCAATAGCCATTGATGAGTCCGGCCCACAGCAATGGCCACTGGTGAGTCTAGTCCGCAGCAATGGCCATTGGTGAGTCTAGTCCGCAACAATGGCCATTGGTGAGTCTAGTCTGCAGCAACGGCCATTGGCGATTGTAGTCTGCAGCAACGGCCGTTGGTGAGTCCAGCCCGCAGCAATGACCGTTGACGAGTCTAGTCCACAGCAATGGCCATTGGTGAGTCTAGCATCAATGGCCGCCGTTGAGACATGCAGACACGACGCGTGAATGGTCGCCTTCTGATGTCATATAGTGACGTGTATCACCCTCATGTTGACCAGAAATGAAACAGATATGTGAACTTCTTCGGTGGCCTGTGCCCCCCCCCCCCGCCCTCCCCGCACCCCTCCCCCCGTTATTTCGTTGGGGGTTGGCTATGTCGTCCCTTTCAATGCTGTGCGTCCAGCCCAACCGGATCCCAACAAGTCATGAATCCACCGCTGAAAACAGTTCACGGCCCAGTAATAAATTTCACGAAACATTAGAGCGTTAATTCTCTATCTTCCCAAATTAAAACCTGAAGACATGGGCGCTTTGCATGCGGCTCAGCACTAAGTGCATTACTTCGGTCTCGCTCCTTGCGATTCAGCATGTAAGCCAACCTTGGTGAAGTCTGCCATGAGGAAGGCTTGCTCGAATCCCGACCACATCGTCAGCGGGATGATGAGCAGCTGGTAGGGCTTCTTCATGTGCATCATGGTGGCCAGCAGCAACGTCAACGGCCGGGTGCCGCTGGCACTGGTGTCCCTGTCGTTCTCCCCATACCTGTGGACAGGATACCACAGTTTACGCGTAGCAAGTGGTCCCGCTGCTCTGCACGTGAGCATCAGCGGGGCCTGCCGTCCCCATTCCCCTCCTGCCTCCGGAGCCCATCAGATAATGCTCAATCTGAGGGATGCAGCCAAGAGCCCGGTCAGGAGTTCATTAATACCGCCGCCGTCGTCGGCGTTCCACATTTTGTATGGTACCGCTTGACTGTTGACACGGCCTCTTGGGACATTGGTGTCTAGTCGGGAGACAAAACACACAGTGGTCAATCGATTTGCCAAATTACCATTATCGTTACTTGCAAGCTATGGTGCCCTCTTTCCCACTTCCCCGTGTTCCCCGACCTTCTCCGGCCGAGGGACCATACACTGCCTCTCTGATTTCAAAAGGGATTCGCTGCCGCTTTACAGACGACGCCACAACAAAAGAAAATCGAGTCGCACGTTCTTTAGAACGTTAGTTAGTCGCGACCAGTAGCCTGCGATCCGTGGTTTCCCCTCCCAATGATGCTTGCTCTTGAGGCTTTTACTTACGGAAACACAAGTAAGCTTATAAGTGGACGGACGAGGCGACTCTTCGTTATGACAGACCACAAAGCCACTGGTCAGCCTTCTACAACCTGAGGTAAGGGGGACAAGGACTGCTGTGGTCGGCTAATCCCCGAGCTATTTGGGGCAGACTAACGATATGCATCACTGAGAGTGTCCCGCGTTCGTTATTTGGGGTTTGTCGAGTCGTGAGGATCTCCGTGGTGCAGATGATGTTCGTCGCGCGCATATGGGACGACCATCGCGTCACGGTTGCACAATACAAGGTCACCGGTAGGAGATTAGGACGAGCCTCGAGATCGAAAAGAGTGCTACACCACGACGAAGGTGACTTGCACCATTGTAGCGCCTCGGCCTTTCGGGAGCGGTCGCTCAGACAGCTCCGGAGCCGCTAAGCATCGCTCCCATGCTGTCGAAGTTTGCCCAGCAGGCGACGCTGGATGCTGTCGAGCTTCTCTGGATGTTCCCACTGTCGTGAGGCAGCTGCCAAGACCCTGTCTACGCTTTTGGTCAAATACGGGACAGCATCGAACATCGCTGACTCTTTGGATCGTCCAAGCCGGATGCCATGGAATGCCACAGTTGCAGGAAACCAAACCTGAACTTCACATTTCACGGGCATGTGACGGCCTCCGCAAACTTTGTGGCCGGTGGTAAGACAGATGTTGGTAGTAATCACCTGGATCACCATCCATCTGTATTTGAAGAACAGGGCAACAGAAGCGTAGCGATGCAGAGAATACCAACCACTTGCCAGTCCCCTCCCCCCGCCCCCCCCCCCCCCACTACGACACTCTTGTCTAGGTGCAAGAGAGTGTTGCTGAGTGGGGACCTACCGATTATCCCAGGCCAGATCGCTGAAACAGCGTGGCCGTTGCCAACGGCAGAGGACACGCTGGCTCCCAGGGATGCATGGCTCCTACCTGGGCTGGCGTAGCGTGGTGAGCAAAGGGGCAGTTGTCCCCACAGGGGAGGGAGAAAGGGGGAGGGGAGGGTATATTTTTGCTTTCTCCCTACGAAAACGTTGGTGGAGCCCCAGCCCCCAACTTATCCAACCTGAATGCTTTGAAGTTTCGAAAATGTTGATAGAATTCAGATCAGGGAGGTCTTCACAACTAAAATGAGGGAACTTATTCGCGTTGGATGGGCCTTTTACACCAAGAGGCGCCCTTCGGGATCTGGAGGCCTCCTTGATGAATCGGATTGCCAATGGTCTGGGTCAGTAGGCTCTGGTTTGTGTCAAGAAGACCCTCTTTATGAATCAGGAGGCTCTGATCCGGATAAGAAGGCACCAACCTCTAGGCATATGTCACAAGGTCCTTTTGCTGGCTCAGGAGGCACCAGCTGTGAATCAGGAAGCCATGTTTGGGATAAGGAGAGACTCTCTATGCATCAGGAGGGTCTCGTTCCGCAACAGGAGCCATTCTAAGCCCAGCAGGCCCTATCCCGGCATAAGATGTCCTGTGTTTGGATTTGAGGCCCCTTTTGTGAGTCGGTGGACCTATATTCTGAATTAGGAGACCCGTGTATGCATCAAGAGACCCTGTTTTGGAACAAGACGCTTGTTTTGGGATAAGAAGAACCTCCACCGGATGGAGCATCCTCGCTATGCGAGCCAAATGGGCCTTGTTTTGGATTCACAGGTTACGTTTTTTTATTAGGAGGCCCCTTTTCTTGGCGCGGAAGCTCTCTTTTGGAATAAGGAATGCCTCGGCAAGATCACATAGTCACATCAAAAGGGCTTGGGCTCCTAATGCATATCACGAGGTCCCATTTCTTGATGAGAAGGCTCATCGGTGAATAAGGGTCTCCTGTTGCCGATCAAGTAGTATTTTTTTCGGAAAAAAGAAAATTGTTGAGGGAATACAGCTTCAATGAAGATATGTCATAACAGTTATATCTAGAACGTGGACAGCGAGGCTGCCAGGATTTCGTCCAGCAGATATGAAATAGGGGCAAAATGCGCCCTTTCCGCCAAGGGGCCCACTTAATCTCTGTGAGGGCTAGTCGTTTGTATTCAGGACCTTTCTAGGCCCAAGATTCCATTGACGGTCATGAGGATGATGATGCCTTGGGGGCTCATTTTGTAATGTTTTAGAAGCCCTATAGGCGTCTTAAATTGCTGAAAATACTTTAAACATTTAAACTTGTATATACTTATTCATATATTTATGTATATATATATATATATATATATATATATATCTCTCTCTCTCTCTCTCCTCCTCTCTCTCCCTCTTCTCTCCTCCTCTCTCTCTCTCCTCTCTCTCTCTCTCCTTCTCTCTCTCTCCTCCTCTCTCTCTCTCCCTCTCTCTCTCTCTCTCCTCTCTCTCTCCTCCTCTCCTCTCTCTTCTCTCTCTCTCTCTCTCCCTCTCTATCTCTTCTCTCTCTCCTCTCTCTCTCTCTCCTCTCTCTCTCTCTCTCGCCTCTCTCTCTCTCTCTCTCTCTCCTCTCTCTCTCTCGCTTCCTCTCTCTCTCTCTCTCTCTCTCTCTTATTAAACTTATGTATATGTATATTAAATACTTTAAACATTTAAACAAACATAAAACATTCGGCTCCAAGGAGACCAATGGCCCGAAAGGCCCTCCTGGCTGCGCCACTGGCTGTAGGCACGCGTATACTACGGCCTACGTAAGTGCGCAACTCTTAGGCATTCGATTTCAAAATCTGCCGTTTTTCCCCCGTATCACC